ACGGGCCTGTCTATAGGTACCAGCCGGGCTGTACTGGTCAATGGGACTGAGTGCCCACTGGAATGGTAAGTGCCAGCAGGCAAGGGGATGATGAGAGGCCATGGGGATTGACCTAAGTCACTGGGTGGGGCTTGGATCCCTGTCAGGACAGAGGGAGAAGGTCTCAGTCACATGGCCAGGTTCAGGAAGAAGGGTCTGTTGCCTCTTCCAGTCCGCAGGTGGTTTGGGGATCACAGAGTATTTTGGCTCCTGCCAAGGGGAACGCGTTTCCTATCTACCTTTTTGGAGGTCTTCCTGGGACTGCCCTATCTTTAGATAGACCCACAGAGTATGGGCAGTGGGGAAGTTGACCAGCAGAGGAACTGGGAGGAATCGACAGACCCTTGGAGAAGGAAGGCTGGCCATCACCTGGAGGGTGACCCTGAGTCCGGTCCCCCTGTTCTGCAGGATCAGCGATGAAGAGCTTTTATGTGCTACACCTCCCAGCACTGCCTTGGCCAGCATTCCCATTCGCCTGCAGGTGGGGGGCGCCGAGGTGCCTGGCTCCTGGACCTTTAACTACCTAGAAGATCCCGTCGTGCTGGGCATCAGTCCTAATTGTGGCTACGCGTAAGTGTCACCTTGAACACTCTGGTCTCTTAGGACTGAGGGAGCCAGCTTCAGAGAGCACCTGAAGCCCACCACCCGGCTCTCCTCCACAGCGGCTCCCATGTCACCGTCCGTGGCCGACATCTGACTTCAGTGTGGCACCTAGTGCTGTCATTCTATGACGGACTTGAGGCAGTAGAAAACAGGGTGAGTGGGTGCTAGCAGCTTCCAAGCGGGCACTGACCAGGAGGGAGGAAGGCTGGACCAGTCCCTTGCGTTCCAGCCCCACCCCATGCTGGCTGAGGAGACTGGGGTGGCCGTAGGCGGGGTGCCTGGCTAACCACTCTCGCATGGGCTCCACGCAGTGTGAGGGGCAGCTCCCGGAGCAGCATTGGTGCCGCCTGCCCGAATATGTGGTCCGAAGCCCCCAGGGGTGGGAGACAGGGAGCCTGAGTGCCCGGGGGGATGGAGCCGCTGGCTTCACACTTCCTGGCTTTCGCTTCCTGCCCCCACCCCATCCACCCAGCACAGACCTGGCCCCACTGAAGCCCGAGGAGCATGTCATTAAGTTCCAGGTAAGGGGGGGATGGAGGCCGGGGATGGTGGAGAGTTAGGGCTGAAGCCTGCCCAAGGGAGATGGGGGCACTGGCCAGTCCTCATGACTGTCTCTGCAGTACATTGGGCTAGGAGCTGTGGCTGATTGTGTGGGTGTGAACGTGACTGTGGGTGGTGAGAGCTGCAAGCACGAGCTCCGGGGGGATGTGGTCATCTGCCCCCTGCCCGCCTCCCTGCAACTGGACAAGGATGGCGCCCCACTGCAGGTAGGTAGGCAGCTAGCTGGCTTTTCACAGGATACTTGGGCCACGGCCTGTAGGCTGGGCCTGAGCTGTCACCTGCCCCCAGGTGTGTGTAGATGGTGAATGTCACATCCTGGGCAGAGTGGTGCGGCCAGACCCAGAAGGGATCCCACAGGGGATGCTCCTAGGTGTCCTGCTGGCCCTGCTCCTGCTTGTGGCTACACTGGCCACCGCATTGGTCTTCAATTACCGGCGGAGGAGGCAGCTAGGTGAGCTCTCCACTCCCATCTTGACTCAGCCCCTAACCCCAAACAATGGCATCTCCAAGTCCCTATATCCTCTCTCTGCTCAGGCCTTGAGGGTCTACCCACACCCCTGCGGTAAGGGTTGGCCTCTAGGAGTTTGGAGAGGCTGGCCATCAAAGGCTGTCTTTCCACAGTCCTTTCTCTGAACCTGGATGACCCAGCCTCCTTGGACCAAACCACTAGAGCCACACCTCTGCCTGTGTTCCATTCAGGCTCTGACTACAGAAATGGCCTTGGTGAGATGGCAGAGGTGCTGGAAGCTGGGGCCATATCCTCTGCCCGAGAAGACCCTCACTCCCTCTCCTCCACAGCAGCCCCTGCTGTGGATGGTCTGTGTTCCACCACTTGGGTCCACAGAGCATCCTTTTCAGACAGCAGGGATGGGTCCTGTATCCCACTGCTGCAGACAAAGTCCATCCAGCTGGGAGTCCTGGACTCTGCACTCCTGGCTGAGGTCAAGGATGTGCTGATTCCCCATGAGCGAGTAGTCACCCACAGTGACCGAGTCATTGGCAAAGGTATGGGGCCAGGCCAGGTGGTGCTGGGGCAGGTATGCAGTCCTGAGATGACATTGGCTCAAGGGACAGTTGGACAGTGCTCTGCTCTCGCCTTCTCATTAACCTGTGTGACCTTGGGCAAACCACGTAACCCCTCAGAGCCTCCAGTTGCTCATCTGTGAAGTAGTAATTAGTTCTGTCTTCAGTAGGTTCTGGTGCAGATTAAGCGGGCCTGGGAGGGTGCCATCACATAGCTTCTGCTTGCTTTTAATGTTAGATTGACTAATTGGTTCTCTGAGGTCCGGTTGCCAATGAGAGGGTGTGGTGCAAGCACCTGGCACTGGGGCACGTCTCACCATGTCCCCTCACCAGGCCACTTTGGAGTTGTCTACCACGGAGAATACACAAACGAGGCCCAGAATCGGATCCACTGTGCCATCAAGTCGCTGAGTCGTAAGTGGGGCAGAGGCTGGGCCAGTCCTCATCGCTGCTGTGCCACCACCTCGCTGAGTGACCCTTAGCCAGGAGACCCTTCTCCATTTCCCCATCTGACCCTTGTAAAGGATGCCCCTGCCCTGGGCCTGATTCACGCTGCTCTGCAGGCATCACAGAGCTGCAGGAGGTGGAGGCCTTCCTGCGTGAGGGGCTGATCATGCGCGGCCTGCACCACCCAAACGTGCTGGCTCTCATCGGTATTGTGCTGCCACCCGAAGGGCTGCCCTGGGTGCTGCTGCCCTATATGCGCCACGGAGACCTGCTCCAGTTCATCCGCTCACCCCAGCGGGTCAGTGCTTAGCTGGCCCTGGGTCAGGGGGCTCGGGCGGCAGCTGGGGATGGAGCTGCTCTGCACTTGCCTGCTGACCCATCTTTGCCCCCAGAACCCCACAGTGAAGGACCTCATCAGCTTCGGCCTGCAGGTAGCCCGTGGCATGGAGTACCTAGCAGAACAGAAGTTTGTGCACCGGGACCTGGCTGCTCGGAACTGCATGTGAGGGGCCAAAGCAGTTGGGGGGAAGCAACGGGCCAGGGCACCAGGCTCTATAGCTGCCCCGACGGCACTTCAGGGAAGGACCTAAACTGCAGCCCTTGCTGCACACTCCTGGGCATGGCCTCCCCTCTCTGGGCCTGTTTTCTTGTCTGTCCAGTACAGTTTAGATTGGATTCTGTGGCCCTGAAACCCTGTGAAGACCTGAAACAGGTACATTCAAGGCATGGCGAGGGCCAGTTCATCTGTGATTCCTCTCTCCCAGGCTGGATGAGTCATTCACAGTCAAAGTGGCTGACTTCGGCCTGGCCCGTGGCGTCTTGGACAAGGAATACTACAGCGTTCAACAGCACCGCCATGCTCGCCTGCCTGTCAAATGGATGGCCCTGGAGAGCCTGCAGACCTACAAATTCACCACCAAGTCTGATGTGGTGAGGCCCCACCTCCCTCAGTCTGCGTGGCTTCAGTGTCCTGGGAGAATACTGAGCTTTGCCCATTCAGCTCTGGATAATGATCTGAGCCCAGGGGATCTCTAAGCTGGGCAGGCGCCCTCACAGCCCATTTGCCCACCTCTTGGGCAGGAGAAAGCTATGAATTCATTGGCTCCTCACGGGCCCTCCAGGCCCTGCCCTGCACCAACTCCGGAAGGCTCAGGTGGTGGGAGGAGACTTAGGGAAGATGCTTGTGAGGTATTGAGGAAGGGCTCTGGTTGGAGAATGGAGCCCCCATTTCTAGCTAGAGTGATCTGGGAGGTAGAAGACCTGGGAGCTCCACCTACCCCAAATTTGGGGTAAGGCTTAAGTCTCCTCACCTTTCCTGTCCCACAGTGGTCGTTTGGTGTGCTGCTATGGGAGCTGCTGACCCGGGGTGCCCCACCATATCCCCACATTGACCCTTTTGACCTCACTCAGTTCCTGGCCCAGGGTCGCCGCCTGCCCCAGCCTGAGTATTGCCCTGATTCTCTGTGAGTATATGGAGGTGATGATGGGGAGGGAGCTGGGCCCCAGAGACAAGGAGCCAGCCAGAGACAGTGGTCCTGCCTGGTTCTTGCCTGGTTCTCATCTTCTGGTTGACCCAGAAAGGGACCCTGTCTGGACCTTAGTTTCCTCATCTGTGGACTGGCTCCTCCCCCATTAAGGCTGGGTGCTGGGATGATATCATGGTTGCCATGGTAACAGCATTCCCAACTTTGAGTCTGGGTTGAGGCCAGTGATGTGATTTCCCAGCACTCCTCCCACCCCCGCCAAGGGGGGCTGTTTTCCATCTTCTCCACTCACTTAACCCAAGGAAAGCTTCCATTAGCTCCCACACTAGCCCCCTCCACACCTCTAGATCAGATGTTTTTCCACTGGATCTAGGTTCAGATTCCCTGTTCCTGGAGGCATGGCAGCCGTGTCGTCAAAAGTGCATGTGGGATGGCTTTGGTGCCAAAGTTCATCTTAAGCATCTCAGCTCTGCCCAGGTCTTTGTGGTTAGACCAGGAAGAACCAGGTCATGGGTCTTATCTCAGGCTGCATTCCAGAAGGAATGAGTACCCCTGCCTCACAGCCCTGCCTGCCTCGGGTCTGGTCTTCATTGTTCACATCACTCACCCTTCTGGTTTGGAGTGAGGGAAGTCAACTTCACTGCCTGTCTGCCTCCCGGTGAGGCTCCCTGGAACAAACTCTGAGTTGGAGATTTATGTGCAGAGGGTTTATTGGGAGGTCGGGGGCTAGGGAAGCAGGACTGGGCAGGCAGGGAAATTGGGCTGCGATGCAGATGAAACAGAGGCTGCAGCCTACCCCACGGGGACTGCTCGAGCTGAGATGGCCCTTTAGAGTTTTCTGAAATGAAGATCAAGGGGCCAGGTCTTTGCACCAGACTAATCAGTGACTGGTTCCAGCCGTCCCTGAGATGGGAGTGTGAACTTGGAGGAGACAGTTCTCTTCTGTCTAGGGCAGTTCCTAGAGAGGACCTCAGCCTCCAGCAGTCAGCAGCCACGGGGGAACGAAGAGGGGATCTGGGTGGTACATCCACACACCAGGTCAAGTCCCTTCTCCTCTCTGGGCCTCAGTTTCCTCATCTATAAGTTGGGATGGTAACAGTACCACCCTCAGAGAGTGTGGTGAGAATTATGTGAAATTATCATGTATAGGGCACTTAGAGTATCATTTAAGGCAGGGATGACATTCCCAAGATAAAGGGGCAACTATTAGGACCCACCAGGCAAACCCAGAGAAATCCTGCTGCAGAACCATGATGCCACTGGTGCTGCCTCTCGCATCCCTGTCTCAGGATTTTTAACCCCAATTTCATTGGACCTGGGTTTCCTTCCTAGACATGTGATGATAACCATGATAGCTTGTGATCTGGGCCCTAAGCTGAGCACTTCATGGGCATCCTGTCACCTTATGCCCCATAGTTCTAGGATCAGAGGATCCCAGAGGCACAGAGATGTTAAGGAATTTGCCCAGAGTCACATAGCCCAGGACACAGAGGGCACAGGAGCCCAAGCGCTTAACCCCTTAGGCAATTCGACCTCTCCCAGGCTGGGGAGGCAGGACTGGAACAGCAACCACAATGAGAAGAGCTGCCCCTGATTGGGCTATGCTCGGCACTGGGTGCTGTTACCTGTCCTCACGCCTACGTGGTTTGCCAGGGGAGGAACAGGGAGGGTGAGGTTATGCCCTGGCCCTGACATTCACTGGGTGCTGTTACCTGTCCTCACGCCTACGTGGCCCGCCAGGGGAGGAACAGGGAGGGTGGGGTTATGCCCTGGCCCTGACATTCTCCTCCACCTGCAGGTACAAAGTGATGCAGTGCTGCTGGGCAGCGGACCCTGCGGCACGACCCACCTTTGGAGCACTAGCAGGAGAAGTAGAGCAGCTGGCGGCAGCTCTGCGTGGGGACCACTACGTGCAGCTGCCTGCAGCCTACGTGAACCTGGGCCTTGGCATCTCGGAAGAGGCAAATGTGCCGCTAGAACAGTCACCGTCCACACCTGTGCACCGGCGCACTGCGCGGCCCCGGCCCCTCTCAGAGCCAACACTACCCACGTGACTTCAGCCTTAGGTGGGCCCTGAGGGGCCGGACCTCCATAGCCCCTCCGGGGGGTTAATTCCACGCTGCCTCTGGGCCACGCCAAGGGAGGGGGTGGCCTGAGCTGCCCCCTGCCACATCCCTGCTCCTTAACATTCAGGAGCTATAGAAGAGAAGCAGGGCACATTGGCCCCTCACTGCACAGAGGGTGCCAGTGAGGGTGATCCTGGATGCAGCGAGTACTTATGGAGCGCCAGCTGTGTGCCTGGCACACTGGGCATCAGGGACTCAACGGTGACCAGACAATGACCCATGAACCAGTAAATTAAACAAATAACTCTTTAGTGCAAATCGTGGTAAATGCCATGAAAGGAAAAAACAGGTGGCTTTGGGGGAAGGAAGGACAGCTTTAGACAGAAAGAAGAGTTCAGCGGTGAGGGTCACCCTAGCAGGGGACGGTTCTGCTGAGACCGTGAGGTGGGAGCTGTGCCAGAAGCAGAGCTGGAGGGAGAGAGATCCTAAGGCTGGAAAGGGGTTGGGTCGTCAAGAAGGCTCCAGAGAACAGGGAGGTAGGCAAGACTGGATTCAGGTTTTAAGGCCCCCTAAGATTTTGGGATGGAACCAAGATGGGTGGGTTGAGTACTCAGGCATGCAGCAGCCAAGAGGGCTTCTCCCACCACTCAGTCTGCCTGTCTCCTGCCCTGGGCCCCAGCCCCCCACCAGGGCTCCCTGCGCCACCGCCAGCCTCCTCCTCCACCACATACACTGTCAGGGCATGGAGCCTTGCTCCCCCACCCCCCACCCCTGCCAGCATTGTCCTTGTAGCCTTGAGAGAGATGAGCCAGCAGCAAGGTCTCAGCTCCACACTTTCCAGGCACCAGCTTCAAGGTGCTGACTGCCCAGGTTATTTATACTTGTCAAGGCCACTCTATAATAGCCACTAGAGCGGCAGGTACCACAGGAGAGGGGGAATGGCTTCAGTCTCATGCTAACCCTCGCCATGCCCTGGATGCCGAGGGGCAGCTGGGCCCTGCTGGCGTGGATAGCTGGGGTGCCAGAGCATGCATCGTGGTGGTTCCCCTCTCTTGCTCAGGATCCCCATAGCCTCTATTCTGCCAGTTTGGGAGACCCCACTTCACCCCAAGGGGAGCATCCTCCCTCTCCTGTGAGTCCCCAGCTCTTTGCCATGTCACACATGGAGCTCTGGGTTTGGGGCAAGAGCTCCCTAGTAAGCAGAGCAGGGGTCTTACTGGGACTGGCGCTGCCCAGTGTTCTCTATCCATACTGCCGCCTACTCTGTCGCCTCAGGCCAGAATGAGGCCCATTTTGGGGGAGCTTAAGGACCCTGGGGACAGGTGGGTAAAGCTTAAAACAAGATTCTTCTAGTCATTTGCAGATGTCCAAAGATCAGGGGCCCATGAGCTGGAGAGGGATAGAGACAGACTCTGTCTGCCTGTTCACCACTGCACCACTGCCGCCAGCTCAGAACAGGTGCCGAGGAGGCTGTAGCCTTGCATTCATCCAGAGACTCCTTGTCTCTGTGTGGGGAGTGGACAGTTGTTTCACTCCTGAGGCTGGGAGAGGTGAGTGGAACGTCTCGGGTACCCCCGCAGCCGTGGTCCCTATAATACCAGTTAATTGGTATTATCCTTCTGACTTGCAATCCCTGTGCTCTACCATCATCCTGAATGTCTGAGGGTCACTTAGAGCACCAGGCCCTGGACGGGGAGTGAGGAGAAGGCCCAGGGGCTTCTTCAAAGCTGGACTGAGGCTCCTTCCCGCTGAACTTCTGCCGTTCATAGACCACTGACTCATATGTTCCTAAGAGAGAGGCTCAGAGGAAGTGTGTCTCTGGATAAGAGAGAAGCTTATCAAAGAGAGAGGTCACAGAGAAGGGAGACAGAAAAGAAACTCAAGGCGTATTAGGTTTCCCTGCAGCCAGAATGTGGCGTTTGGGGCCTGTTTCTGGGCCCAGGATTCTCCAGTGAAGGTGCCCAGTAAAGCAGGTGCTTGGGCTCCTGGATCATGGCATAACTGCACCTCCTTCCACCAATGCTGCACCCCTCAAGCTCAGAGCCACCTGATGGTCCCAAGTCTATTTGGAATGTCAAGAGCTGGAACTGCTTCGGGATTAAATTCCTGACTAGGCCACCAGGGGGATGAGGAAGGGAGGGTTAGTTCTAGGCCTAGGCGACCAGGAGGCTTCTAAGAGGCTTCCAGAGCTAGCGAAGGCAGGGCTGCCTTTCCGTTGGGGGAGGCTGAGTAGCATGTCAGGTATGATGGGTGGCCATTGCAGCGGAAAGATCGCTGGTGGCCTTGGCAGGCATGGATTTGCCACTAGCGTGGGACAGCGCGAGCAGAGGTTTCTCCCAGGTCCAGCCTCGCCACCATGAGCTGCGGAAAGTAGTCGTCAGCTCCTCTGCCTCTTTTCTCTCCACGGCAGCCCACTGAGGCCGGGGGCGAGCAGGTGCCAGTAGAGGCTGGAGGGAGACGAGGACGGGAGCTGGGGCCGAGGAAGCAGCAGATGACTCACACCCTCCCGACTGCCCATCGGTGTCTCTGTTGTCTGGAGGCATGCATGGGGTGGACTGATCTGATTTGATGGAGACTTTGATGAGCCTGGTCTGAGATTCCCTTTAGGCCTTGGCCCCAGCCTTTCAGAGGATTTTCCCAGGGATCCAAAATGCTCTTTGTGGAGTGGGGTCACACCGGGGGGCTCCAGATTTAGTTCCATTTCAAACCCCAGGACTTTCCTGGAACAGCAGCTTCATCAGTCACTCATGCAGACCATGAGGCCCTGGGTCTACCTCTGATGCCATTCCATGAACTAACTCCCTTCACCTGTAAGAGAGAGGGGGGATCTCCAGTGCTGAGATGGGGTGGGAGACATGGGCGTTGCTGCAAGTGTCTGAGGCTCAGGGAGGCCTGGGCTGCTTCTCTTGAAATTTTTGCCTCTGACTGAGGAGAAGCGGCCCCAGGAATCAGTAGCTGAGCACTGAGCCTCCACCCTCCAGGCCCTGATGAAAAACACGCTGGGCTGAAGAACTGCCCTCGGTGAAGCCCCCAGGAACCGAGTGTCTCTTCACCTACAGCCTCTGCTCTGCCCATGTGGGAGTCCAAGCAGCCCAGAAGTGGGGGACAGCAGCCTGAAGGAATGTGGATTACTTGGGGAAGTGCCCTCAGTCTCTCCTCCCACTCTTTTGGGGTTTGTTTCAGTTGGGTTTTTAACCCAATGAGCATAGATGCCAAGAGAGCTGGGGCAGCTGCCATGTTCACCTCTGGCGGTGATGGCTTCTTGGGTGGGCTGGGTTCTTCCGGTCTAAGGATGGTGACCTGGAACATGATTTTCGCTCTTGGTCCTCTCTTGGTGGGAGTCCTCGTACCAAAGCTATGCAGCACGTGCCCAGTGGGTGGCAGAACCTGCCCAACACAGCTCCGTCCAGAGATGTGGCACCTGGACCCTAGTAACCTCCTACTGACACCCTCAGACACTCTCAGAAATGTCCATTTCTCCTGAACCCCCATTCCTTTCAGTCCATCCCAGACAGGAACTCACAGCCCCAGTCTCTCTAAAGAAGAAGGGTTCTGTTCCTGAGCCTCCCCATGGCCCTTGTACTTTGATGAGCCTGGTCTGAGATTCCCTTTACGCCTTGGCCCCAGCCTTTCAGAGAATTTTGCTCTCTATTCCGTCCGTGCTCGGAGCATCCTCTGTCTCTGGTCCCAGGATGTTCATGCCAGGCCTAGCAGGGACTGTCGTGCTGCCCTGGAGAGGGAGGCAACAAGAGTGAGCTCTCGTCTCGCTTGGCGGGATGAGGAGCCCAGGACAAGCTTCTGCCTCTGCGTGGCTACCCATGCTCCAGCAACCTCTGTTCCACCCAACTGGGAGCCCTGAGCTTGGAAGGGAAGCAGAGGCACTAAAGGCCCTCACAGCCTGCCTTTTGCTGTGAAGATGGCAGGATACCCCCGTATTTGGCCCTCAGCAGTCTCTTTTGCTCTGTGGGAGCGCAGAGGCCAGGCCCATGATGGTTTCTATTTCGAGCTCAGGTGGTGGGAGCCGAGGGAGGTTGCTGAATCCCTGGGGCTCAGCATGGGCAGAGGCAGAGGGAGCAAGTGAGGCTCCCAGGGCCAGGGGCATCCTCACTTCTCTCTGCTCCTCTTCGCATTGGTTTAGCCACCTGTACACTTGCAGTCAGTCTTGGACTGGCACTTGAGATCTGGGAATGCATCAGGGGACTCAAAACAGCTGGTGGCAGAGACCATGAAACTCAATTAGCTTTGAAGTCAGCGTGCGCTCCCTCATACTACAAGTCCTACCTGTGCAGCCTGGACCACAGAGACTCAGAGACCCCAAAGGAATCAGTGCCACGCCTGGGCTCCATGGCATTGACAGCTTCAGCCAGGCATCAGTCCAGCCGACATGTTTCTCAAAGCTGGGGACACCTCTCTTTAAAGGAGGAAAAGAATCTTTTGGGCAATCCCAATCTCTTTGCCCACATGGGTGACCCAGCCATCTGTTCTTAAAGTCGCCCCCGCCCTCCATTGGTCCTGGGCTCCTCTGGGAGGGCAGATCTCACATCCCCTCTGCAGGTCTGGTCAGAAGTCTCTTCTCAGCCACCGTGAAGCCACGTGTGCTTCTGGCAGCACTGCCTTTGCCCCCACCTCTCCGGGCTTCTGGATCGGGGGCTGCTCCCAGAGAGGGTGAGGAGCTCCTCCAGCCCCTAAGCCAGCTGTGGCAGCAGTCAGGGTGGCTGTGCTGTTGCCCTCCCTCCAGGCTGTTGCGGCTGGCCATCTTTCCCGAAGTTACGTAAGCTTGAGTCAATTGGAGCTCAGAGCGGCACTGTGGGC